TAATTCTTAGCTGTCATACTTTTCTTCTGCTGTATTTGTCTTTTTCGACATGTAGTAAACGGGATGTAACTTTCCATCTTCTGCTTCTTGTAACAAAATTGCGCCGTACCCTTGTTTATAAGCGTCTGTATGCAGTTCTGATTTTCTTCCATACTTGTAAAGGTGCAAGATTGGGCCTTCGGACATGGTTTTCTTCCAATTTTTCAAATGCTTCTTTTTGTTGAGTCGCGAAAACAAAGAGGTTTTCTTTTCTTGTTAAATCGCTAAGTGGTTTAGCTATCTTTGAATAATCCTTGATGTACTTGCGGAAATATCCAGTTAAACCAAGAAAACTTTGTACTTGTTTTATTGTTGTTGGTTCTGGAATTTTTCGGACAGCTAGTGTCTTCGTAGGAGATGGTTTAATAGTTCCGCTTTCTACAATGTGACCTAGAAATTCAATTTTCTTTTTAAAGAATTGGCACTTCTTGAACTTAATTTCTAATCCGTATTTCTTTGCGACTTCCAAAATAATTTTAAGTTTTTCGAGACCTTCCTGTTCGTTTTTCGCTGGAATGACGAGATCATCTAAATAACTGCTTACAATTCCTTTCCGAGTAAGATCTCTAAATATACTTGATACGTAGCGTTGGAAAACTCCTGGACTTGTGCTTAGTCCGAAAGGAACTTTGTTGAATTCAAATTGTCCGTCTGGGACGATAAAGGATGTATACTTTCTGCAATCTTCGTCAACATCGACGTGAAAGAAACCATTGCGTAAATCTAATGTAGAATATACCTTTGCTTCTTGCAAAGTGTCTAAAACATCTTCGATGATAGGTAATGGAAATTTATCTTTCACAAGCTTCTGATTCAATTCTCTGTAGTCAATGCACATTCTCGAAGATCCATCTATCTTTTTTACCATTACGATTGGACTTGCATATTCTGCAGAACTCGGACGTATAATGCCTTCGTTGTGAGCCATTCTTCTATCTGTTTGTTGACTTCTTGTCTTTCTGTGAAAGCTAGTCGACGAGGGTGTTGACAGACTGATTCTTCGTCTTTTAAAATAATTCTCATTGTGACGTCAGTAGATGCTGTTTTTTCTGGCTTGTAGTCTTGAATTAACTTTTCAAGTTGCTTCTTGATTTGACGATTTTCAACATGACGTAGGTCTAGTTCTTCTTGAAGATTTTCTGCAGATATTTGCATAAGCTGTGCATGATTCTCATATTTGTTGAATTTAACTCCTTCTTTAGTAAAACTTATCGATGCTTGTTCCAAAAGATCTGATCCAATAACTGATTCGAATTTTAATTTATCAGTCGGTACAACATGCCAAGTTAACGAGTAATTTTCATCATCTATTTTGAACTTATGTTCAAAGGAACCGATAGTTGTCACTTGTGCTTCACCAATACCTGTGAGAAGCATCTTGTTCTTCGATAATTTTGTTGGATCCATTATTCTTCTGCTCGTATTTTCTCGAAGCAAACTTACGGTACTACCACTGTCTATGAGCGCCATGATTTTCACCCTTCCAAAAAATATCTCTTTAGTACGTAAACCTTCCTTAACGATGAGTGTGCAAGTTTCTTTTGGAGGTTCTTTGAATTTCTGCGATTTTGAATAATTCGTCTGAGCATATGCTTGGAAGCATTGTGATTTGAGTGTTTCTTGTAATTTTTGTTGTAATACCCTTTCTGCGCGCTGTCTTGATATCTTTGAACAGATTCGTACTTGGTAACAGGGGCTTCGTAATGTTTGTTGTAATTCGTTGACGCTGGAAACTTCTTATCTTTCCTGTTATACTCGAATTTTCCTGGTGCTTCATACCTGCGATTCTTTTCTGTGAAATTGTATTCTTGTTTCTTCACAAATGGACTGCTAGATTTTTGTTTCAGAGTCCTTTTAAAGTCTTCGAATTCTTCTAGTTTTTCTGCTTATTGAACAGGAGAGTTCATATTTGCCCATTCATCAAGATAATATTCTTTAAATTCAAAAGGAGTTTTTCCGTTTGAGTTGATCTGTTATGATTAGATCTGATAACTTGTTGAAAGTATCTATCTTCAATCCATCTATCCATCCGTTGAAGTAAGTGTTTAATTCATGGTAAAAATCAATCCATGTTCTTTCAGGTGCTTTTTGGTGAGTGACAAATAGTTGTCGAAACTTTTCTGGAGTTAGTTTAAAGCGTTTCAGCAGTAAATCTTTAACGTGTTCGTAAGAGTTGGCTTTATCGTCAGGCTCTCTCGCTATGACGTGAGATACTTCCGTCGGTAACAAGCCTAACAGATGAGAAACCCAGTTTTTTTTTTTATCAATATTCAATCTCTGCGCTTGACGTTCAAATAATTTTAGATAAAGACTGATGTCTTCTTTCAAATCAAAACGATGTATAAACTTTGAAACTTCTTTGACGAGAAATTTAGAGAGAGTATCACTTTCTTTGGATGTATCAGCGCCTATAACTTGGATTGTGTTTGGATTCTTAACTTTTCCAACTCAAATTCATCTTTGCGTTTTTGCTCATCTAACCTCAATTGTTCGAAGCGTAATTTTTCTTCTCGTTCTTCAATGCGTAATTTTTCTTTTTGCTCTTCAATGCGTAATTTTTCTTCTCTGACTTTGCGATCCTCAACAATCGTTGAATGTATGTTTTCAGTCAGTTCTTCGTCATAATCTTCATTACTAATAATTAGATCTTTGAGTGTGGCGATGGTCATCGATTTAACGAATTTTAAATTTAATTCCGTGGCTAAGACAAATAAATCTTCGCGTCGACCTTTGCCAAGATACGCCATTTTAAAATTTAAATTTAACTTTAGATAGTAACCAAAGGAATAAACAAAATTGTTATGCGTTCAAACAAAAACAATGATGTTGCTATTGGCAATTCTCGTTTGCATTTACAAAAATTCTCAAGTTAAAATGATATTGCATCAAAATACACTAAATATACATTGAAATATTCAAATTCTATTCATTTAGAAATATTTTAAACCAGTAACGTGTAAAGACAACAATGCGAGCTAAAATACGTAATGCTTAATTTAAAATAGTCAAATTATTAATTTCAACTAAAAACAAAACCCTTTTTTTTAAACCATTTGATATATCAGTTATCTCATTTCGTTATAATAAATGCAAAAAGAATTTGAAAGAAAAAATATAAATTAATATATATCTCGTTTAGAAACAGTGGTTAAATTTATTGTGATATGAAAATTTAATCATTTAAAGTTCTTTGCTGAAAAAAGCAAACAATTAGAAGTTAGTCAATTAAGAAAAATCTCATATGTATTTTTTATTACACCAATAAAAATAAAATCTTTTTAGGATCTCATCAGCAAATTTTAAGGAAAAACTCATGTTTCAATAGAAAGCATAATAATTCTGACAAAAATGAACTCAAAATACTTATATATTGAATGATAAAATACACCATTAAAAATAAGATTATACATGATCTTTCCATCAATTCTAAAAAATATAGCATATTCTTTCAAAATATATTTCTGGAATACTCGTAAAAAATAGTTAATTACTAAACAGCTGCAAGAGAAATGTTACACTATATGAGTCATTGAAATTACGATTGCATCCAAACGGTAAATGTTTAGGAATGGGAAGACATTAATCTCTTAGTTCAAGGTCGATGACATAACCATAGAAATGAAAAGTTTTCATACACACATGAAATTAATTCAATGCGATTCGTTAATAAATGAGATACAATTGAAAAACTTGAATATTACGTACGACTTTCTTAATATTTTAAAAGATATACTTGTAGAAAATTTTAATTGATACGATTTCTATACACAAATAGAAAAATAGTATTTCAGAAAAACACACATATTTAAAAATATAAATTACTTCACGAAATCGACTACAACTATTTTTTTTTATAAGTAACTTAACACTTGCTCACGTGTTTTCTGAAGATTCCCTTTTTTTTTCCTGTTGCAAGGAAAAAGAAATAAAAAACAGTACACACCTGATACAGTTGACGACGTGTGATTAATTACTTGAAAAACAAACTTCAAAGGCTCCTGGATGTGTTCACTGGACTTGAAACTCTTGTAGTTGTTGTACACGGCAGAAAATAACGTGGTTTCGGCGAGCGATCTTGTAAGATCTTGAGTTGTGACTTGTTTTATTCACCTAAATGTTAGTATGTATGAGAGGCAATCCGCATTTTCGATTCAGTCCGCTTGTAAATTAGGCTTGCAGCCAAAAATGGTTTTTTTTTTAAAGAAGAGGGTTAGAAGGTTATCAACTTATTATTTAGAGAAGATTTTCGAAATCAAATCCCAGGCGATCCCCCAATTATTTCTGTGGGAGTCCGAATAAATCTTCGAATAAAAATCAGACTCTTCAGAAGGCGGGATTTTAGATAGGCGAGGTGGCTTGTCTAGGGGTAAGTATTTAAAGGTGAGTGATGAATTAATTGAATCTAAGTCATTTAAACACAGATACTTCATTTAAGTAAAAAAGAATTTATTTAAAGTTAAAGGGAAATATTTACAAAAGGGGATATTTACAAAAAGAAAGACATGCAAGAATTAGGTTAATTAAAAGTTGAGTTATACCTTTAGAAGACGGGGAAATAAACCTTTCTCATTATTGGACGTTAGGACTGGTAGAACCGCGCAGGGCGCGGAAATGCGGTAAAGACGCGACGTGTTGAACAAGCAGTGGTTAGTAGGCCTCTGCCGAAAAATTATTCAAGCCGGAGCTACGAAAGCTCACTAGATGGCGCTGCTTCGGAATGCAGTAATAAATAAAATTGAGATTTATGGTCCTCTGAAAAGGATATGACTCAACCTTTTAACAAAATGTTTCAAAGGGAAAATCCTACATACATATATGACAGAATCACAACATTAAGTGGCAAAATATAAAGTGATTTTCCTTGCAATTTTCCATTTTCCTTTCTATGTATTCATTCATTAAGTTTAATTATTCCAATAATATAGTATAGTAAAAAGAAAACGCATTCTCAGAAATTAGGCCATCCCAGGTGGGATTCGAATCCACCACCTTTGGATTAGAGCTCCAAGGTGCTATTCATTGCACAACAGGAACACAGTGAGCGATTTTCCTTTTTATATGTGGTGTTGGACTATTATTTTTGTTTGTTACTATTTATTCAATAATTAAATAGCATTAATGAATCAATATTTGAAAAAACTGCATTAACATCAAGTGTCTTCCACTGCAAGTTTAAAAAAATGTATTTGAACTTAAATGGATGGATAAAAAGTATTTTATTAACGATTGAAATTATTTGAACAAGATATATATGTATAGGGAGAGTGTGAATTATAATAATAGGAATTGAAAAATTACTTTTTAACGATAAAAAAAATAAAATTTTATGTTAAATTTGTTTTATTATAAAGTATGCTTCATATATAAGCGAAATGAAAGTTTTATATATATATATATATATATATATATATATATATATATATATATATATAGTATAGTAAAATAAAAGTGAAGAATAACTAGAACCCACAGTACTAAAGAAGTAAGAAATTGGAATTCAGCAAACAACAAAAGTAGATACAAAAAGTCATAGGACTAAACTGGAGACCTTTTATGATTTCTAAAGCTGTCGCTGAATTAGGTCATCAAATTAGGGTTAGCTGTGCTTTATGGATCCACCTTCCCCGTACAGCAGAAATTTTCGACATAATAGGAAAGAAGAAAAAAACAGAAGTTGAAAAGTTAAGCCTAATACAGCACGTGGTTGTAGAACCTAACAAAATCGTAAAAAGAAATTGAGAAAAGAGAACAGTAATGAATCTATCAAGGAGAGGAATAATAAAACTTTTTTAATAGAAAATATTAGGAAAAACTTTCTAGTAAAATAAAAATCCTTAATATATATATATATATATATATATATATATATATATATATATATATATATATATATATATATATATATATATATATATATGTATATATATAATTTTATTGCTATACTTTATAATTATCACTATTTATCTTGCTATAATAACTGTAACTGCCTGTCTTTGGTAGAGGCCAGGTGAGGAGAGAATGTGATCGCCATGAAAAACCATTCATGTTCTTTGTCCATTATTTTTATTAACGCTATGTGTTGTCTTTGTGCAACTTAACTTTTAAATTCATAAATATAGTTTGTACACTATAAGAGACTTCATTGAAGCGAACCACGAATTTACCACTTTTAGTTTAATCTCTATCGCCCAACGCTCTACAATTAACGATATGTGAAAATATTTTTTGGGGATTGATTTAACTTATTATATATATATATATGTAACGTATTGTAGTAGCGTTGGACGGTGTTGGTTGTTGTCATATCTGGTTTATTGAAAACATCTTTAGAATTGAGTTTCATCTTTTATTTTAAAGCACACATAGCGTAACTATTCAATCACTTTATATTTTACATCTATTTGTTAAAACACGTAAGCAGACACATATAACAGAAGCGACATCTTGACGGACACAACACAAAGACACAGATTTGCAGTTATTTACATTTTTACATGATGAAGGCAAGCAGACAAAGAGAGCGGTTACACCAGATTTTTGCTTTTATATCAACGGTGTTTATTACGTAATAATAGTTCTGATTGGCTACAATGGGCGGAACAGGGAATTCGGACTAGACGATTACGATTAAGATTACAATGTTAATTTTAAACCAAAGAGTTAAATATATTTTAAATATTAGTACAAAGAGTTAATAAAAAGGATACTAGAGGGATTTTTTTTATTACATATAAACTTATAACTAATTCGTATTTTAAGACCATTTTTTTGGTGGGAAGTATGTTTTCCACCGCCCTCTAAGAACTTTTCAAAGGTAGGACATTTAATTTTTTTAAATTTTGCTTTATATCACTTTATACCAGGGGTGTCAAACTTGCGGCTAGGCCAATAATCAGAGCACAATAATAAATAATAAAATTTTAAAAAATCTCCCGAAATAGGAAAAATAGTAGCAGAGAAGAGATGTCAGCGACAGTACGTAAACGTTACATTTTTTTTTGGTTCTTTTATATATGTTTATTACAATGTATTATTCGAAATAATCCTACGTTTCTATAAATTTTCATTTTTTTTTTTTTTTTTTGCTATTACCTAGGATTAAACTTTGTTTGTCTGGCCAAAGTTAGTCTTTGAGTGTGACACCCCTACTTTACACGATATTTTAAAGCATGATTCGAAAATACTAAAATAAACTGAAGAAATTATAAATGAAATATATTTTTTATAAAAAATTTTTAAGAATTTATACATATATTACTTTCCATAAAATTTCAGAAAAAAGGGATCGACACATAGCGGGCATTGCAAGCTGGACAAACATATCTTGAGAGTGGCGTAACGTACACCCTCTCTTTGCGTGGGTAGGTGGGGTGGAGCCAGGATTTTAAGTCACCCTTTGCAATCCTTTGAAAGATTCAGTTTGGGGCCTAAAACCAGACTTTGCAGGGAGGTGGGGGTGGACTTAATGTTCTCCGTCACACCACTGTACCTTGTTCTCTTCTCATGTACTTTAGAATAGTGATCCCCAACCCCCGGTCCGTGGATGAAATGGTGCCGGGCCGCCTAAAGAACATTAAACTATTGCCATTTTATTTAAAGTGGTGTATTTCTCCCGGATTTGCGCAACTTTTCACGGAAATCACTTTATATTCCACGTTAAATCACTTTTATTCATTTTTTTGTGTAAGTATATTTTATTCTGAAGGTATATTTAAATGTGTAACTAAATGAAAATTGTTAAATCAAAAGAATCTAAAATATACACAATCAACGTGTCCCACTCTCAGCGTGCCGCGGTAAAATTATCAAACGTTGACCGGTCCGCAGCGATAAAAAGGTTGCGGAGCACTGCTTTAGAAGATTACCAACGGTAGCGTCTGTATGTTTTTTGTAAAGTTAGCATATGGTCCATAACTTAAGTCAATCGTTCGTCATCTGGAACAGTTTTCTTGCTGCTCGGGAAATTTATAGGTGGTCCTTTGCGTTTACGACTTGAAAATCCAAACATCAGTTGTCATGCAAGCCGAAGGGTTAGCAGTACTAATCATACGTCAGGAAATAGCTTTACGTCGATATTGAAAAATTAATAAAGTTAGTGGAAAGTATACTTTCCACGATCTTATAAAGTGTTGCATGATATCAGTAGCGTAGCTAGTCCAAAGTGGACCCTGAATCGAAATTCATTAGGGGTCCTTTTTTGGGAAATTAAAAATGATCACATTAAGAATTCATTGGGGGTCCTTTTTTGGGAAATTAAAAATGATCACATTAAGGTATCCGACTACGTTCGGAATCGTGATTTTAAAAAAGCACATAAATGGATAATTTTCATGATATTTAGTGTCACTCAGATTAGAATACATGCATAAAATTGTTTTAAGGACACATTGACAAAAAAAATTATTTAAATATAATATTTTGGCAAAAAATTACCTTAGAATAATCTTTTTTCCAAATGTTCTCCTTTTGTGAAAAATGGTTCTATTATTATAATATCTCTCTACAGAGGCTCAACTAGAATTTTTGAAAAATTCACATTATTTTCAGAGTTACCACCAATTGAAATAATTATTCGCGTTTTTTTTCTTAAAATTGCTCCCCTCTGTTGTCGTAAAATATGAATAAACCCACTTCTAAGTTATATATTTCAAAAATTCTAGTTGAGCCTCTGAACAGAGGTCTGAGCTATATACAGGTAAAATATTATTCTAATCGAAGCAGTTTTCACAAAAGGAGAACATTTGGAAAAAAGATTATTCTAAGTTAATTTTTTGCCAAAATATTGTATTTAAATAAATTTTTTTTGTCAAAATGTCCTTAAAACAATTTTATGCATGTATTCTAATCTAAGTGACATTAAATATCATGAAAATTATACATTTATGCGCTTTTGAAAATCACGGTTCCGAACGTAGTCGGATACCTTAATAAAACTAGTTTGAAAGTGTCAAAATATTACATACCGTAAAATCCGGCGTATAACGCGCACTTTGAACACAGAAAATAAGATCGAAATTTACGGGTGAGCGTTATACGCCGGGTGTAAAAATGAGAGCTTTAAAAGCAAAAAAAAAAAAAAAAAAAAAACATGAGCATAGAAAAAAATTAGATCTCTATATGCATCAAAATACAGTTTATTGAACGAAATGACATTCCACTCTTATGATCTTAAAGGGTTGTAGTTTTAGACGTACGTTATTTTCTTCAGATGCTTGTAACAATACCTCGAAAAAATGACTTCTAAACGTAAGAGCATAGCGCTTGTACATATGTCAGGTTTCTTCATAGAAAAGGGTGTACGTTTTACGGCGAAATATACCTTAAAACTAAAAATTGCAGCTTGAAAGTATAGGTGCGCGTTATACGCCGGATTTTACGGTATGTTGGAGCCGGTGTAGCTTGGGGGCCCCGTATCATGGATACGGCTGATACAGTAGTAGCTACATCCTTGTATGATAGACAATAAAGGTTTTATTTCGTATGTGTTTCAATTTTTTTATGATAGACAATAAAGGTTTTATTTCGTATGTGTTTCAATTTTTTTGAAAAGAACATAACGCTTATAAATGGCTCCTCTACACAATTAATAATCTTTCGGCTTTTTGAGTTGCTTTTTTTTAAACAACAGAATAAGCTAAGAAAACTTTGACATGACTATTAATAAGTGAATAACAAATGCGTAATAATTGAAAAATCCAAATTGAAAAAAACAATTAATACGCACTATACTATAAAAGATATTTAAAAAAAAATCCGATTTAATATTTGTAGTCTTTCCCAGATAATCCTGATACGAAAAAACCTTTACATGCTTTCCTGCCCATTGTTCGCAGAAGACAGGAAAAAGCCACAAGCACATCAGAACCCATTACTTTACGTCGGTCGTCGCGACCAGTAGTTCCAGAGGCAAACGTGATCGATCGTTAACGAATTAACGACGACGGGACCAGACTAATCCTTTCGAACGCCGGACGTTTCGCAAGGATTAGGCTGGATATTGCTTTCACGTTCCTCATGCCACTCGGGCTAATGCG